TTCTTCCAAAAAAATTCCCAGATTTCCCATTTCTGTTGCCTCCGTAAGTCCAGCAAGCTTTTTCAATGAGGATCAAGCAGCATTTCAAACAGGCCTTGTTCGTACACGCCACTAGCCCACACTGACAGTAAACGTCAAAGGTACACGACATATTCAAAATCGCTTTTCCGCCGGAAAATCGCCACCCCGCTTGAGAAATGTACACAAAACAGTTCAGATAACGTCGATCTATCGAAATTTGTACAGTTTTGGTTTCCAAATCTAAGAACAAATGCGAGTTTCTCGATTTGATTGGAACCGAAATGCGTTAATTTTCACTAACTTCAGACTACTGAACTGACAAGGTGAGTGGGGCAGCGACATACTTCATTGACTACACAAGTGGAGTTTTGAGACCGATTCTTTGGCAGTATGTCGGTTGTTAGATCGTAAACATGCTGAGGAATTTCTCCTGACATAAAATTATTTAAAACCTGCCAAAGTTGATTAGAAAACATTTCGCATTTAGCGACTGCTTTAATGTGCTCCCTGCCTTGTTAGGGATATTTTTGACGTACTGAAGTCATGATTGACGGTTCGAAATTTAAAAAAAATAAGAAAAGTTTATTTAAGAAAAACATTGCTAATTAATTCAGGCATTCACTAATTTTCGAGATTCTTCCAAAAAAATTCCCAGATTTCCCATTTCTGTTGCCTCCGTAAGTCCAGCAAGCTTTTTCAATGAGGATCAAGCAGCATTTCAAACAGGCCTTGTTCGTACACGCCACTAGCCCGCACTGACAGTAAACGTCAAAGGTACATGACATATTCAAAATCGCTTTTCCGCCGGAAAATTGCCACCCCGTTTGAGAAATTTACACAAACAGTTCAGAAAACGTCGATCTATCGAAATTTGTACAGTTTTGGTTTCCAAATCTAAGAACAAATGCGATTTTCTCGATTTGATTGGGACGGAAATGCGTCTTTTTTGACATTACTGAGATTTAACTCCGTTAATCTTGTCAACTTGTATAGAAATTTGCCAAAATATACCAAAAACTCAATAAATTCACGAATCTTTTGCGTTTTTCGAGTAGAATAACGTTTTCCCAGTCATGTTGACGACATTGAGGCAATTTTGATCTCAAGCGTTTAAAAGTGCAAAAGTGTCGTTGAACTCTCGTTAGCGCCGCTGAAAACTGTCGAAATTTTCAAAAACTCAAGAAAAGCCTCAAATTTCCCAATTTATAACGTAAAGTTCTGCCGTTCCAGAGCTACCAAAGACTTTTGGGGGCCAGTCTTTAGCCTCAGGTAAGCAAAGCCCAAACAGCCCCATAAAGTCCCATGGAAATTTGACCTGCCAGTTCAAAAAATTTACAAAAATCAAGGACAATTGGCTCTAAACCAAACAGTTGGCGCACTAATAGACCGGATCTTTCGCCATCGACCGGCAGTAAAAATAGGTTTCTACTTGGCCAGACTTTGAGGAAGAATTTTTGGAAAATTTCTGGTCGGGTTAGAGAAGAGAATTATTTTCCAATGCGGCCTCAAACCGGAAAAGTTCAACAATTTCAGTTGCTGTCCAAGTTTGATGAGGAATTTACTCACCAGTTTCTGTTACGGTTGAAGTCGCTGAGAAATGTATATACTGGTGAGTTGATAGGGCTTCTAGGCTGTCGTTTAAAATGGTTTCTTCCTGACGTTTTGCAAGCAAAAGGGGTGTGCATCTTCAGAGGTTGGCAGCTTGGCGCATGCAGCCCTTCTGAAGATGCAAGATACCTACTGGTGCTTGCAAAAGCATCTCTGATAGTGGCTGTATTTCTTTGGACGGAAAGTGCGCACTTTAACGGTGAAACTTACGTTTTCGTATCAGTAAGCCACTGGAAACCACAACGCTAAAATTGACCAGCACTAAAACGGCTCCAACTAATGGAATCACATAGTCGTAGACGGTCAAATAGCGGTTCACTTGCGGATCGTCGAGCTCGGAGTCAGTGGGCAGGCTGTTGCCCATGTTTGCCTCATGTTGTGCAGTGCTATCAGCACTTGTGAACATCATAATTTCGCGATTTATCAATTATTTTGTTTTTCCCTTAATACCACGGGATCATGGAGCACTTAATAAAAGGCCATCACTCACTCACACCGAAATAGATCAGATAAAACTTCATCCTGATAGATTGAAAATAGAATTGCGCCCGCAAAGGGATATGGTTGATAAGGCGGCCGTGCCTGTTTACCCATCAATTTGCTCCTGCTTGTTTGAATTTTCTGGTCGCAGACCGTGACATCGACAGATAAGGAGCGCTAATCATGTCAAGGTGTGAGGAGGACACGCGGATCACTTCCAACGTTTATGGTTGAATCAGTGAATTTTCAGAAAGATTTTCCATCAAAAAACCTGATAATCACGTGAAAACGACGTGACAATGTACGTGAACGTCACCAGTTGTCAAGATCTATCGACGTGATGAAGATGGACGTCAAAAAAACACTTCACTGACACTTTCCTGACTTGACACCTGTTGCCAAACTCTCCCCCACGTACCACGCTGTTGATCTTCAACATCCGAACCAAGTTGGGAACTTTACCTATCTTCCACAGCCTCAACTTCTTCACTTTTCCTCTTGCAGCTAAAGCGTCAGCGGCCAATGCAGCTCCACCTGCAGCAACCAGTGCGCCAAATGCAGCGAGCAACGACCGATTTGAAGGTCCGGTTATTCCCATGTGCGTTTATCTGCACAACAAAACCGTTATCATGATGGAGATTGAAGACACGCCATCAGCCACCTGCGAGCTCATCTGCCAGGCGATCGTTAACAGTGAAGAGCTGGGCTTGAACAAGCAGCTGGCTGCTCAAGTGTTCACTTTGTGGATGATCAGTCCGATTTTAGGTGAGCGAGTTTGATGGAGCAGCTGATGAAAACAACCGAAATGTTGATTCCCCAGAGATTCAGCTGAAGCCCTACTCCAAACCGTATGAAATGAGGCAAAACTGGCGCAATCTGATCGAAAAGTATGGGCACGCCTCCGAGGGCCGGATGGAAAAGGACGAGCCGAAGCTGGTGTTTCAGAGGAACATATTCGTTACCAAACAGCTGGAGGAGAGAATCAAGTGAGTTTTGCCTCCAAACCTTGACCCGTTGGAATCCCGATATCTCGATCCAGAGACGACTGATGTTTCTGTTAAAGAGACCAAAAGATCTTAGAGCTGCTCTATGAAGAGTGCAAATATAACGTTTTGAATGGGCGATATCCGTCGGAGATCGCCTATCTGATCATGCTGGGTGGGATTCAAGCTCGGGAGGAACTGGGACCTTACAATTTGCAGGTAAGTACCTATGCGTTGCAAATGTATGCTAGTTCAGATCAAGGGACAATCTGATCGACTTCCTCAGAAGCCACTTCTCTAGCGATCTTCTCCCATCGTCTTCGTGGATGGAGACAAACACTACACTTTCCTCCGCTTCATTGATTTTCTTACCTTCTATACCACACTTCATAAGCTCACTTCGCAACATCAGTCTTCATTGTTTGCAACAATTTTTGGATCTTAAATGCAAATTTTCTGGTGGAAAAGTCCACAAAATAGAAAAGAGCTGTCAAATTTCAGTTCAAGAGTTTATAGAACCGAAAAGATGGAGCCCTTCTTCACTTGATGCCACGCTTCTTCAAACGTTCCACATTAGGGCGAAACTATGTGAAGCCAAAAACAAAGAGAAAATTAGAGAAATTAAGCCAGAAAACACTCACCAATTTGAGGAAAATCACCGTTTCAGGCTAAATTTCGAGCAGTGTTGCCAAACTGCGCAAAACGTTTTAACCTAACGAAAATTGTTTCCTTGGATACTTAACGTGTAGATTCATTCAGTTTGGGTCGGTTTAGATTATTTAGGACTTTTCAGATTATTACCTTTTACTTTTTGTATATTTTTCTAGCTTTATTAGAACAATCACTCCAACCATCAGCTAACAAACACAAGCAAATTTACTGAAAATTAACCAGAAGGAAAACAACGTATTTTGTTGAATTCCCGAAAGGGACAATAGGGTGTTTTCACTTTTTTTGTAGTAGTTATGGCCAACATTACACTGATCAAATTTTTTTTACAAAAAAAGTCTCCATAATAATTTTAAAGCGAATTTAAATTCAAATCAGATGTTTTCCGCCAAAAACGCCGAATCCGGTTCGTCGGTTGCTTATCCCGATTGTGACGTAGAAGGTCATATCAACAAAGTGTCTCGTGTTTTTTTTTTTTTTTTTCGCAGCTTTGTTTTATTATTCAGGTTATTGTGATTATCATTATTTTATTGATTGTTATTATCTTGCATAATGGAAAATAGTGACTTGTATGGATCACAAAATAAGTTGTGTTTTGTGCCAGGATGCAAGCCTTCCCCTGCCATTCCCCATGATTATGCACGTAAAGTTTTATGGTTCAAAGCAACTAGACGTGATGTTCCTAAATCAAAATCAATGTTTTTTTGTTGCGAGGATCATTTTAATGATTCTGGGCAAATTCTACGTTGTACAGTGCACAAAGAACCCTCGCGTTTCAATTCCACATATCCGATATCACCATATTGTCCTCATGATGCCCAAAATACAAATTTAAGTGTTCATTTTACCTTTAAAGCAGCCATGTGTATAGGTTAGGTTAAGTTGAATAAGTGAAATTCTATATATTATTTACCTAATTTAAACCAATACAGATAGATTACTATATTAAGGAGAGTGTAACTATCAAAACACCCTATTAATCCACCATCTGTCTATCGGCGCACTAGATAACCTCAATCTGTTGGATTGATTGTTCTCAATCAATGGACGACGATAGAAAAGATGCTTTTGCAACAACAATGAAGTTGATCAAACTTTTGCGAAAAATGCAATTACTATGCATATTAGCGACAAATTTGCATGTTTGTTGATACCTAAAGCACGATATCAAAGATACAGTGAGGATTTTTAATTGGCCTGTGTGGCTTAGGTCCATACAACGCACTTCTTCAGGGAACAGCAATCGAAATTCCTGCCGGCTCATGTGAGGAAAAGTCCCACATGGACGTGGCTGCCCATCAGCAGTAAAAGTTCCGCAGAAGTGCGGCTACTGGAGCAGTTCAAGCGCATCCCTAGCACGGCCACCAACAAGAAACTGATGAAAAAATACCTGGAGTACTGTTGGGGGTTGCCTTTCTATGGGTGAACACATTCACTCAATCATCCTCAACAAAAGCCTGCAATGTAAAGTTGATTGCAGGGCGGCATTCTTCGAAGGACAGATCGAGGAGCCCGTCCGGGGGTTGATTTCCCTGCTCACCCATCAGGATGTTCCCGTTTTGCTGGCAATCAATCCGCGCGGGTTGTACATTATCGATGATCTGAATTGTGTAAGTGTTCCATGTTGCTTAAAGGTGTTTTGCATTTGCTATGAGAATGGTGTCATCAACATCAGACAAATTGAAGGAGCGAGAACTCATCCTTTAGTAAGTTTTCTTTGTTCAAATCTCCGACTGATACACCTTTCTCTTCGAAGCAAATCGTGTTGGGGCTCCGCTACGAGGAGTTCAGCTGGGATTGCAGCAAACCGTCCAGAGAAGACAACCCGGACTGTCTTCCCTGCCTGTTTGTGCAATTCTTGGTGGTGGAAAATGGCGCCAGAGTGTCCAAGATGTTGCAGGTGTTTTCCAGACAGGCCACCTTGATGGACACGCTCATCACCTCGTATGTGTCCCAAGTGGTATCAAAGTCTAATGACGAAGTGGACAACAAAATGTGCGAAAGTCAGAGCAACAGCGATAATGGTGAGCTTAACAACAACTTTGGAATCACGGCAAGCCAGATGGGTTTTTTGCAGACAATCACAATCCTCCTGGAGGTGCAGCTGCGCCCCCTTACAGTGCAAACCATGCAGCTCTGAGCACAAAGTTGAGCAAACTTACGCTGGCAACGTTTGATGACGAAGGACACTGTATTGGCCAGATGGGATCTTGGTCGTTCAGCTATTAA